TGATTTATTCCTACGCGGTTATGAAGTCGCTCTTACGTCAGCAACTATGCCCGGATAGCGGGGTCCGGCAAACAGCCGAAGCGTACAGACGTTAATCCGATCCGCCCCACTTCGCCAATGCAAAACATTGACCAGCTGTCCCCATTTTCCCGCCTTGCTCTCTAACCTCTATCTACATTTGGCTTGTCCCCTTGTGTAGACGCTGGTTCTTACTAAAGTGGTCTCTGTGCTAGGCTCTGTCGAGGTCTTGTGATCTCTTATAATGGTTCTGTTTACCTACAGTCTCCCCCCAAGGTTCAGCTTTGTCTGGGTTGTGACTCGATCCTGAATTGCCCAAGGATCTCGGTCTGTTCCATGAATCTGATGGCTTTCGTGGCTGCTTTGCGCTCGTTCAATACCGCCCGGAGGTTATATCGTCCTGGAATGGATCCGAATTCTTGATCTCGGAATTGTCGAAGTCTCCGGCATCGCAATAGAATGTGCGATACCGTTTGGCGTCCTTCCCGGCATGGGCAGTTGGCGTCCTTCCCGGCATGGGCAGTTGGCGTCCATGGCGTCCGGTACCCTTCGGCTGAAGAGGAAGTCCTTAAGTCCGATCTTTTCTGTGCGCATTTGCACAAGGATTGCACTCTGTCGTTTGCTCAACCCTTCGTGGAGCTGCAGCACCCTCTTCGTTGGTTTTGGTGTGTATCGGAACGAGGTTCTGCCTCGTGGTTCCGCCGTCCACCTGGCTTGCCACATTTTGTTTGCCTCTCTGTATGTCCATGTCTTGAGCGTTGATCTGAGTGCGTACAGGTGCTGCGGCTTGTCCGCCTTGGCGCCTGTCTCGCCGTTCTGTCTCCATCCTGTGGCTTCTTTGGCTGCCGTGTCGGCGTCTTCGTTGCCCTGGATCCCCGTGTGGGCGGGTACCCATCGGATCTCCGTTTTGAGTCCTTGTTCTTGGAGTTTCTGTGTCTTGTCTGCGATCGTTCGGAGCAAGTAAGAGCCTGACTTGCCTTTTGGCCTGGCTGATGATCTGATGGCTGCTTGGTTGTCGGTATAGATCAGGACTTTGCTTCTGTTGTTTCCCTTCTGCTTGTCCTCCTCGGCTATCTCGAGAGCGAGGATGATGCCTTGCAGCTCTCCCGCGTACACCGTTGATATGGTGTCAGGTCCCATATATGAGTTGCGGATCTGGTACGTGGTGGCACATACCGCCGCTGCTCCTATATGCCCGTTAATGCCGCTCCCATCTGTATAGATTTGTATGGCTTCGGTCTCATATTCGGTGCACCTCTGGTGCTCTTTCCTGGCGTTTTCTGCGGTGTCTGCGATGAACATGCGTGGTCCCTGCCACCACGGTGGGATTATGAAGGGGGCGATAGGCTCCCGTTGTCCCGTGTTGTCGCCTTGTTTGATGCGTAGTTCTTGTTCGATTATCTGCCGCGGGCTTGTCTTCTTTTTCTTTCTTACTCTTCGTCTTGTGTTCCTGACGTTCTCGCCTTCACTTTGTCCTCTCGGGCCCAGTCTGTTGATTGTGTCGATGTTGTGTTTCCATATTCGTTGCTCTATCGGGAGGAGGTGCATTTCCACGTCGAGTGCTGGGAAGGACGTGGCCCTTAAGGCTCCGCACATCGCCCTTGCTGCTCTAGCCTGTAGTCTTCGCATTCTGTTTAGGGTTCGGTCTGTGTATCCTTTGGCTCCCCAGCTGGCGTTGGACCACGCTGAGCATGCATACATCATTTGGGGTATCGCTACCCCTTGGTAGATGGTCCGCATTTCCTTTGTTCTTACCCCCCAGGTGGAGCTCCCTAGGCTGCTGATGGCTGCTATGGTCTTCGAGACTTTGCGTTCTATTTCATCGACATGTGGTTTCCACCTGAGGGCAGTGTCCATGGTTAAGCCGAGGTATTTGCATGTTGGCTTAGGCTTTATCTTGCCCCATTTGCTCTGTAGTGGTGCGTCGATGTCGATTTTTGACCTTGCCCTTGTAAAATGAACGAGCTGAAACTTTTCGGGCGCGAAGACGGATGCGTGGGCTGTTGCCCAGCTTTCCGCTGCTTCTAATGCCTCTTGGAGTTTGCGGCAGGCTTCTTCTGTCGTGTCTGCCCATGCGAGGATGGCCACGTCGTCGATGAATCCTGTTGTGAGTGTTTCCTGGCCTTGGTTGCATCTTTCCAGGAGGTCTGCGTTGTAGAATAGATAGAGTATTGGTGATAGGGGAGAGCCTTGTGGTATGCCAGTTGTAAGCGTGTATGGCTTGGACTGGTATCCATCGACATGGATATTTGTTTGCCTGTCTCCCAGGAAACTTGCGGTCCATCGTACTATTGCTTCGTCGATCCGTCTTTTCCTGAGGTTGTGGAGGAGTCTTTGGTGTGATACGTTGTCGAATGCTCCCGATACGTCGAGGAGGAGAAGGCTCGCGACCTTTCCTTGCCTCTCGTCCCAGGCTTCATATATTTTGTCGATGATGGTGTGCAGCGCGTTCTCTGTTGATCTTTGTTTCCTCCCGCCTATATGATTTTCTGGTAGTAGTTTATGCGTTTCGGCCATGTAGCTTAATCTTTCCGCTATGATTGCGTCCATGATCTTCCCGACGGTGTTTAGAAGTGCTATCGGTCTGTATGACTTGGGCGTTGTGTAGTTGTCTTTGCCGGGCTTCCGTAGCACGACTGTTGTGGACGTTCTAAAGTGTTGTGGGCAGTATCCGAGCTGGAGGCTCTGGTTGAATGCCCGGGTTAGGTGGGGGCTGATCCAGGGCTTGGCTACTTGTAACGCTTTGTTTGTGATTCCGTCGGGGCCGGGTGCCTTAAGCGGTGCCGTTTTTTGTATTGCTTCCTCTACTTCGTTTTCTGATATTGGTGGGAGTTCAATCTGTTCCCCGTATGTTGCGTTTTCTATGTCTTCGAGATAGGCCTCTGGGGGCGTTGGGAAGAAAGTCTTCCTGAAAATCTCGGTTTTCTCTTCTGGCGTGGTGGCTACCTGGGCCGTGCTGGGGTTTGTGATTTCTGGTGTGACAGTTGGCGTTTGGTTCTGTCTAGTTCGGGCCCATTTGGCTATCCTCCAAAGTGATTCTGGCGATTCTGCTGCTGCTTCCACTGCCTCGCGGTGTGTCTTCTGTAATGCCTTTCTAACAATTTTGCCTTTCTTGTTTCGTGATGCAAGATACTCTTGCCAGCTCTGTTCGGTAGGTTCCATGTTGTATCGTCGGCGTAGTCGTTTGGTTTCCGCAAGGACTTCAGCGCATTCTTTGTTCCAGCCTGGCCTCGACCTGGGGGAACGGGCCTTTGTTGGTACTCCTTCGTTGATGGCTGTTGTGAGGGCTTCGATTATCTCGCTGATATATCTGTCCAGTGCCGCTTTTGTCCTCGGCCTCCTCAGTGGGGGTAGCTTTCGTTTAACGACTTTTGTGAAGATTGTTGCGTCTAGAGACTTCCAGTCTCTTGTCTCTTCCTGTTGTAGCTGTGCTACCGTCAGGTCCAGCGACGTTGCTATGGGGAGGTGGTCCGAGTCGTGGTTTGCGTTGTCGTCTATTCCACATTTGATGAGCCTGCTTACTAGACCCACTGTGAAGAGGCAGAGGTCTATTGTCGAGCAGCCGTTCCCTTGCATGTATGTGATCGTTCCCACGGGTAGTTGATTGATGAGGTCAAGGTCGTCCATGAGTTCTATCAGTTCTTTCGCTTCTGCGTCTGGCGTCCGGATGTTGCTTCCTCCCCATAACTCGTGATGAAGATTAAAGTCTCCTACTACTATCTGTTCCATGTGCTGGTTGGCCTCTAGGGCTGTCCGTAGTTGTTGTAGGGATCGTGTCCTGCCGTTTTCTTGGTTTTGCGGGTTGTAGATGTTATGTATGGCGATTTCAGTGTTCTGAGCTGCACGAAGTCCCAGGGTAAGGGTACAGAGATCTTTGCTGTGCTCCTTGAATTGCCACTTGGAGTGGTCTAGCTTCTTGTTCACGAAGAAGCATACCCTGGCAGGGCCGTCTTCTCTATTTGACGGGTAACAGAGATGGAAACGGTCCTTTGCTGGGTGGTGTGTTGTAGTGTTGTATGGATTCGCCCATGGCTCCTGGATAGCAAGGATGTCGTAGTTGTCGATCCTAGGGTCACGCAGGAGCGTAGCCATCACCACGTCTCTTGACTTTCTGACGTTGTACTGTAGTATTGTGAGTGTGTTTTGTGTTATCATTCGCTGTCGTCGACAATTTCCATGTGGTGGCTATAGTTTGTCATCTGCGTGTTCACGTCTATGGCTTCAAGCGCTCGTCGGGAGGGCACTAGCGCCCGTCTCGGCCGGGCTTTCTCTGAGGCGACAGTGATCGTGCTCTCTTCGTTCTCGTCTTGTGTCTGGTTCTCGGCTGGTTGCTGGCGTTTCTGTATCTTTTTCTTTACGAGTGATCTGCTACGTTCCGGGCGTGCATTCTGGCTCTGGCCTGCTTCCATTACTGGTCTTGATGTCGTCCTGGTTGGTGGAATGGTTCCTATGATGGCTGGAGCCGCGTTGGCTTCCGGGTGGTATCTCGGTCGTTGTTTGTATGCTGCTTTGATTTTGGCCAGCTCCCGAATCCTGGTCGGGCACCGGCCGTGCCATGCTTCGTGTTCGCCGTGGCACGCTGCGCATTTCCGTGGTGTGGCCGTGTCGCTTTTCGAGGGGCACTCTCGGGTTGCATGTTCTTGCGCGCAGTAGCCGCATGTTGTCGTTGCCTTGCACTGGGTTCCTATGTGGCCGTATGTGTGGCATCTGAAGCATTGTCTCAGACGGCACTGTCTGTCGTATCGTTCGCATTGGAAAACCTCGCCTTGCCAGATAAGTCCCTCGTCGATGAGCTTGTTGGCGTCCTCTGCCTTGGCGAACTCGACAATGATGGATGAAGCGGACTTTGTAGTGGAGGATCTGGTTAACCATCCGATGTACTTGATCTCTGCGGTGGGAATGAAGGCTTTGTTATCCTGTAATAGTTCCTCTTGGAGTTCCGTGGAGCGTTCCATGTCCATTGAGCCGGTTCGTATGCCGTGTACTAGGATTCCGTAGGTTGGGATCCGTCCTGCGGCTCCGTTACCGATGCGGTGTTCCCAATCCTCTGCGAACTGGCGTAGGGCCTCCATGTCTGTGGCAGTGGCTGTTTTGATGCTCAGGTCGCCACTTTTGAGTTGGTTCGCGGACACAGTCTTCAATTTACGGATGTGCTCATTGTTGCTATGTTCGATGGCGCGGTCTACGTGCACCTTAAGGTTGCGGGGGTTCATGGCTCTGATGCTGGCAATGGTGATAGGATCTCTAATATTTACGATGACCTCACGCATGGTTTGGACTCGGGTAAATCTTTGGTTCTGTGGGTTATGAATGCTTGCTATGAGTCCTCCTCTGGCGGCCACACTAGCATAGGACTGTGTGGCACTCCCCTGATTCATCGGTCCCAGCGCCTTGATGTCCCTTACCATCTTGACAGTCAGCTCACTGGATTTCAGTGCTTCCTTGGCAGCTGTGTTAGTGGACTTGTTGGTGTTGGTTTCTCCTTGATTTCGGCTGTGTTCTGCTGGATTGCGATCCTCATGCTGCTGGTGGTTCGGACGGCGTTCTCATTGGCTGCCTTTGTCTCCATACGCAAATTTTCGATTGCCTGATGGACGTGTCCGATATCGGGGATGTTCTGTAGTTTGACGATGAGCGCCAGGGCACCGATGAACGCGGCTCTGACTCCTTGAGGCTGGATAGGTTGACCATTTGCGGTCTCGATAGACTTCAGTGCTGTTTGGAGATATCTGCTTAGTTCTGCGGCGTGCTCTCGGTATGGCGTTGGCCAGGCCTGATCGTTAGGCCATGGGGTTGCCATGATGCCTGCGTCGCTATGGGCTTCACGACGAGCAAAAGGCTATCCAATTGACCGGTTAGATCGTGTTGTGGCGCTGTTATTTGCTCTGATTTCAAAAATTTCGTTCTCGCTGTTGTAGATGTTTT